TGCATGAGACAAGTGCTCGGGGCTGGTGCACTGGGAAGATCCAGAGGATTCGGGTGGAGAGGGAGGTGGGAGGGGGGATCGGGATGGGGAATACATGTAACTCCATGGCTGATTCATGTCAATGTATGACAAAACCCACTGCAATGTTGTGAAGTAATTAGCCTCCAACTAATAAAAATAAATGAAAAAAAAAAAAAATAACCCTGGTCTCCCTGCCTCTAGGTCTCTTGACATTCTAGGTCTCATTGACATTCTACATTGACAGAGTGATCCGTTAAAAGGATGCCCTCTCATGTTAGCTCCCTGGTCAGAATCTCCTAATGGCTTCCCAATATACTGTGAACAAAATTCATCTGAGTAAAAGTCAAACCCCTTACTGCATCTCAAGGTCCTCCCTGAGCTGGCCTCTGCAAGAGCTCTGGCCTCATTTCTCACTTGAATCTCTTACTCGTTCTGCTCCAGTCACACTGGCCTCTTTGCTTTTCCTAGAAAATGCTGAGCTGCTGCCACCCGTGGTCTTTTCTCCTGCCACGCCCTCTGCTAGCACGTTCTTCCCCAGACAGGTGCGTGCCTCACCCTCTCATCTCACTGTGGTCTCTGTTTAGCTGCCACCTTCTTTGCTCTCCCATGAAACGCAGGATTGCTCTCTATCCACCTAGCTGGCTTAGTTTCTCTTCACAGCATTTCTGACTGACATCATATACCCATTTATTTGCTATCTCTCCTTCATTAGACTGTAAGTTCTATAACAGTAGAGATTTTGGTTATTTTAGAATTCCCAGTGTCAAGAACAGTTACTGGCAAATAGCAAGCACCCAAATAAATATTCATTAAATATATAAATCAGTCAATCAGTGAGATTTTCAGATCAGCCCACCACACTATAGGAAGGGGATTGTATAGTTCAGTCTAGAGCAAACAAAATATATTTCTGCAAGAACTGGTTAGGAGCATTGCTAGAATGTTGAAATGTGGAGTATTTGAGCATGTCCCTCGGGGACCTATTTTCATAAGGTTCCCTTAAGCCTCCCAGAGGGAAAAGGAGATTGGGTTCACAGGCTCATGGAATACTGGGAAACTCCAACGAAAGAGCTAAAACTGTTATTCCAATCTGAGAAGAGAGGGTTGGACAGCTGGCATAAGACTTACTTGAGGTGGGACAGGAGCAAAAGACATGTTCTGAGCAAAAGACGGTTTTCAACGCTATCGTGATCTGGTCCCTAGAGCAACTTTTGAAGGTATTTCAGTGGAGATGGTTAAGTCTAGTCTCAGTGGGGTTGAAAAAATTTTTAACTGCTGGTGTAAAGGGAAAATATGACTGTTACCTCTGAGAGAAGGCAGCAGGAATCCTGAGCAGTGCATCCCGCACAAGAGATGAGGGACAGGCAAGGAGCCAGTGACCTTCAGAGAATGGCTTTAAAGTAAGCAGGCAGAGTAACAGACACTGGCATGGAACCCAGGAGCTAAGGCAGCACCCACTGAACTCACAGAAAACAGCAGCATCTGAGGACTGACGCCCACCACGAATGCCCTGAGAAAGATATTTCTAAGGCCCTGGGCATTCAGGGAACACGGCTAGGCAAGCAAACATTCACTGCTCCCTCACACTGGCCAAGCCAGGGGAGTCCTGGGGAAATCTGCAGCTGAGAAACTAGAAACCCAAATTATGCTTGGTAAAGCCACTTGTCTTCCAGTGGATGACACTTGCCAAACTTCAACTCTGTTATTTGAGCTGTAGTTTGTGGTCTTCTGGTCATTCCGAGAATATATGGATCCCTGAGGCTACTGTGATCAAAGAGAAGATCCATTTATGGATGTGGTGTGGGCTCCATGACCCTGCTCCTCCCCTCAGTCACATCCAGGTGGGCCAAGGGGCCCTGCCCCTGAGAGACTGCCTGGCTCCCTCCCCACGAAAGTGCCACCTCTTCCTACAGTTTGAGGCCATCACGACTGACTTGGCTAAACTGCCCTCCCAGGGCTAGAGGCAGATCTTACAACTATGTTAGGACAGCCTCTTAGCAAGAATATCCACTGGGAATTCTAAAGTGTGGTGCCACATAATTAATAGCTAACAATTATTGAGTGCCTACTGTATGCCAGGTCTTTGCTACCTGCTTTATATGTGCTGGTGCTCAGTTGCCAAGTTGTGTCTGACTCTTTGCGACCTCATGGACTGTAGCCCGCCAAGCTCTTGGGAAAATCCCCTGAAGGAAGAAATGGCAACCCACTCCAGTATTCTTGCCTGAAAAATCCCATGGACCTGCTTTATACATATTATGTCATTTAATCCAAATCATTCTTGTGGGGTGGGTATTACTGTTATTATGCTTTTTATTTTAGAGATGAGGGAGTCAAGATGCAGAGAGCTCAGATAAGTTTCCAGAGCTTTCATAGTAGGGATGAGGGTGATGTCTTAATCACTGTCCTACAATATCATCTCTGCTTGGAGTGGCTGGTCTGTCTTTCCTAAAAAAGCATCCTGTTTCATGCTTCACAGTGAAGAGATAGCTCAGAAGTTAGAACAGAGATGGGATCTCTGGCTGGAGTATCAGAAAGGTTGCTGCTGCTGGTGAAGTGCAGGTAATGATGCAAGCAGTTCTCAGAAGACACGAAAGTTCCCTGTTGTGAGGAGCCAAGAGAAGTGCCACACAGATGCCCCTTCAAATAAAGGCTTAGTGTTCAGACGTTAGTTCCTTCAGGGTTTTCTCTAGCTGCAGAAAACTCTTGGTCAACACGTTCCCAAGCTGGCAACATCCAGTAACTGACAGTGACAGGAGGACTCACCATCCGGTCATTTCGGGCCATTTATACCCAGCGCAGGACACCTCTAGTTGGCTGGAGCTCTGCCTCGCCTGAGTTGCAGTCTGACTTCTCTTTCTGTGCAATCCTCCTCTTTCTGCCTCCCTTCCACTCATCACTCCCTTGCACCCCAGCCTCTGTCTGTGCCTCTGCTCCTTAAGACCCTGACTGTGACACCTATGTCCCGGGATCAGCGAGCTCCTGGCTGTCCTCCGTGGAAGGGCAGATGGTCAGAGTGCACCCTGGTTATCCAGAGACAACTCCTGGTCTCTCCATGGGAAAGGCTAATTCTGCTTCCCAATGTTTTCTATACCATGATCTGCAAGAGGGTATTCTATTTGAGCAGCTTATTGAGGGAAATGAAGGAAGTTGCTTGGGGTGACTGGCCCAGAGTCTAACTCATTCTCTAGGTTGAGGGTATCCCTGTAACCCATCCTGTACACTAGTTGGAAAGATCCAGGCCAAGTCAAAAATCATAGTGCTCTAAAGAGGGTGGCACATACATATACACTCACTAACTGGGCTTGATTATGTGGCCTAAAGACTTAATTGTAAAAGGCAAATTTAGAAAACTTTTTTGTTTTGATTGTGCCACATGGCCTGAACCTGTGATCCCCAATGGACTGCCAGGGAAGTTCAAAACTTTTGATAGAAAAATATCTTTATGACTTTAAGTTAGGGAAGGATTTCTTAAATAAAACATACAAAAGAGCAAACGAAAAGGCAGAAGACTGATAACTGTACCTTCGTAAAAATTAAGAACTTTTATTTGTCAAAAGACATCACGAAAAAACTAAAAAACAAACCATAAACTGTGAGAGATATTAGCAACAATATGATAATAATATAGCAAAGCATTCATATTCAGAATACAGACAAAGAATTCCACAACTCAATAGGAAAATGTCAAGCAATTCAGTAGAAAAATGAGCAAAAGACATGAACAGGCATTTCGCAGAAACAGAAATAGTCATAAATATATAAAAAGATACTTAACCTTATTAGTAACCAGGGAAATACAAATATCCCTCAACAGGGAAAAATGAACCAGGTACTCATAGCAACACAGATGCATTTTAAAAACCAAGTGGTAGTGAACAAAGCAAATTACAGAATAAATGTTTGCTTCCAATTGTATAAATATGCACTTGATTCCATTTCCAAAACCAGGAAAAACTAAATGCATAAGGACAAAACTATAAAAAAGAACAAGTAAATAGTCAACATAACATTCAGGATATATTGTGGAGGAAGCAGGAAGTGCATGGAGGGTCATTAAAGACACTGATAACGTTCTGTTTCAGAGCTGGCAACTCCCTAGCCATATACAGTTCACCACCTTCTTTTATACATCCTATGAACTGAGATATTCATGCATTATTTTTAGATGGTGTTGAACATTTTTTTAAAATAATATTTTGTGACATTTGAGAATTATATGAAATTCAAAATTTCAGGGTCCATAAAGAAAGTTTTACTGGAACAGAGCCACACAAGGCTGTTTTTTACAGATGGTCTGTCTCTATCTCTTTTTACCCTCCCTTCCCACCATACACAGCCAACTGGAATATAATTTTCCTATTGGAATATAATTTTGCATGAATTTCTTGTGTTTCTGCATGTCTTATGAGCAGAGGCACTCACTGCTGTCCTTCTGGACTATCTATTCAGGGATATTTGCATAATAAACAGGCTAAGAAGATACAGATAGTGTTTCCCTCCAGAGCAAGGCAGGCGCCCATTATAAATCTTTCAAGTTCTCTAATCTCAGGGTTCCTTTTTGGTAATACAACCCACTGTGCAAGCAGGTACCATCTGGAGCTCTCTACATCACCCTGTGCAAATTGGGGCCCAGAGAACCAGGACAAGAAAATGCTGATCCTTGGGCTATAGCTATTTGTGTGAGTAATAAACTCTCCTTTTTTTCTGACAGAAGTTTTGGGTCTTTCACCAGCATCCGTATCACACCATTCACAGTTCTTGACACCCCCGCCTCCCATTTTACAGATGAGAAATCTGAGATCCAGAGAAGGGAAGGGGCTAGCCTAAGGTCACTGTACTGAAGAGCAGCAGTGCTAACAAGAGGTCTCATTTCCCTGACGCCCAGCCCAGTGCTCACTCCTTGCCTCCAGGCAGTATTTCAAGACCCCTGCAGGCCTCCAAAGGACATTAGGACACTCCCTTCTTCCCTTGGGCCTTACCTTTCACGTTGCATTTGAAGGTTTGACTGACCACTCCAGTATTATTCGCCTTCTCTGCTGGCCATTGATACACGTAGATTGTGGTTCTGGAAGACCCGGCATCAAGTACAATTCCATACTGAATAAAAGGGGGATGGACAGTTAATTACAGTTAATTACAGTCTCAGCCTCTCTGAGGACCCCTTTTCCCAGAGAACCCCAAGAGTTTAACCCACACTGCTTCCTTTATATAGAACCTGACCAAGAAGAAAAAACTATCTTCTCCAAACCAACTTTGTTTCTGTAGACTGGAGGGAGGGGTGGGGAGGAGATGAGTCAGGTGTTCCAGGCCACAGTTCTCAGCCTTGGTTCACAGTGGAATCACTTAGGGAGCTTTTGAAGCTCCCAATGCCAAGGCTACACCCGAGACTCATTAAATGAGAATCTCTGTCAATCGTCCCAGGCACAAACAGTTCTTAAAGCTCCCATGGTGATTCCTAAATGCAGCTAAGGTTAAAGATGAGTACCCCAAGGATTGTGCATGCAAAGACAATCTCCTGGTTTCTCTTCATCCAGATTCTGCAGGGTGGAAGTGGGGGAGGTCAGAAGCCACCTGGGTCTCAGGAGGAAAATGAATAGTCAGTCACCTGCTACTGTTTCTCCTCCAAACTTACAAGACTATCTGCCTGGGAGTAAGCAGCCAATAGGAAACCATGGAAGGAAGTTCTTAAGGAGGAAAAAACCAAAATACAAAAGATTGTTGATATATCATCTCACTTTGGTGACTCATGTGTGGAAGAATGGACAGGAGGGTACTGCCAGCCGTATCACCCAGCTTGAGGCAGTTACCAGAGAGCTTTGCTTGAAGGTGTGGCCCAGCCCAGGCCCTGGACCAGGCCTGCCCAAGACAGAGCATGCAGTAGCAGCCAACGGGCATGGGAATGAGTTATGCTGACCTAGGTCAGTATCTGGTTGGGCTGGAGTCAGCCCAGGGCATCAGAGGCTTCTGGGTGGCAGCTTTTCCCCAATTCCTCTGCCACTGAGTTAGCCTAGCGTGTCTCAGAGAGGAAGATGACGTTGGGTTCTGGAGGCAGGTCAAATCGGATGGATTCCTACTTTTCCGATATTGTGTAAGAGACCTAAGCTCTCTGGATTCCATCATCTCCAGACAACTTCCTTTCGGAAGTAAATAGGAGACCATCTGCCTGATGCTTACTGGCTGTTCAATAAATTCAGGCTACACAGAAAAACCAGTAAGCAAAATAAATAAAATCACAAAGCAAGAAAAAAAGGAAAGAAAAGTGAATAACACTCCTCAAACCCAACTACTGTTTTAACACCTTGTTATATATCTTTTCCAGTGGTCTTTTGTGCATAAACTACATATACATCTATGTTTCATATGTTTTTAAATCAACACAGGATTATACTACACAGAAGCTTCTCCAGTGCTCTTTTCTTACTAGAAAAGTATATCAAGAACATCTCTCCCTATCAGTAAAAATACTGACATCGTGATTTTTAAGACATTCATCACATTGACTGTGAGACGTACAGTAATTCATTTATCCAATCCCCTGATTCTAAACTTTCTGCCATGAACACTTGCTTCATTTGAAATAGGAGCAAATAAAAAAGTGTTACTCCAGCTCCTCCATTCTATTAAGATTTAGAACACGCTGTGTACACTGGTATTTGAACTTGAACAGCCTCTTCAACCTGGCTGTTCAGTCTGATGACGCGTGTTGTTTGGGATCTTGACAGGACACCCCTCTATGGCGAACAAGGGAGGCATTGTTCACAATCTGTTCCAGGCAGAGGCTCCCCATGAGATTAAAGCACAGGTTGAAACTGAAGGAAATCAGGCACTCCAGAGGTCTGAGCCTCCGTGTCAGTGCTTTCTTTCCTTCCCTCTGCTGCCAGCCTGCTCACTACCCCTCCACCGGCCCCTCCAGGCCAGGTACTGATAAGAGGAGAGCGAGCATAAGAAGGCGACCACTCCACAGGATACCATACTGTCTATTCCCAAATCTTCTTTATTCCAACTCTTCATGAAGAACGCTTAGGGTTCCTGGGCCAAGATCAGAAAGAAAGAAGAATGTTCACTTTCATTTGTAACTCCAGAAAAATAGGATTTAGTTTTCACCACAGTGGGTGCAGCCAGAGACTTTGCTCTGAGATTTGCAGGAGAAATGGCGGCCCCTTGGGTACCTGCTGATGTACTGACAGGGGCAGCCTCCAGGCCCAGGGCTACTTCTCACTAACACAATCCATCCCCACCCCACCATCTTTCACTGGCATTTTCAAAAGTGGAAAAATTGGTCTTTAACTAGTTTTCAGAGTTCATTTGCCTAGATCAGTGCAACTCAGTGTGGTTCCATGGAGGAAGGTATAAGAGGAGAATGAATTTCATTCAGTTCAATGAAGTGGGTGATGTTTGGGTGAAAAGCAGCAAGTCACCCTCTGTTTAATGCACTGTCAGAAAAAAAACACATGGCCTGATGCAGAACTGAAGACACACTCAGTGGGTCAACTGAAAAGAAACAGTCTTCCATATTAACCCATGGTTATGGACTGTGTGAGCGTCTAGGAAAAGCAAAAGCAAAGATCACATGATCAGCTTTCTTAGATGTGTTTATCACCATCATCATTACTCTTACTATAATAATAAGAATAGGGATAGTAATGAACATTTGCTGAACCCTTATAATATGCCAGGCATTACAGAAAGGGCCTTAATGTCGCATTTATAAGGCAGGTGTTAACATCCTCTCCACTTGACAGATGGGGAAACTGAGGCTCACAGAGGTAAAATTAGCCAGGGTCACAGACTTGGGATCAAGCTGGGGTCTGACTCTCAAACCTGTACTCATAGCCCCTATACTTTCACTGAGTTCCAAGAAAAACAAGTCTTTTTTAAAATGTATTTTTAATTGAAGGATAATTGCTTTACAATATTGTATTGGTTTCTGCCATACGTCAGCATGAATCACCCATAGGTATATATATGTCCTATCCCTCTTGAACCTCCTTCCCACCTCCCACCCCATCCCGCCTCTCTAGGTTGTCACAGAGCCCCAGTTTTAATTCCCTGAGTCATACAGCAGGTTCCCACTGGATATCTGTTTTATACATGATAGTTATGTTTCCATGCTACCCTCTCCTTCCCACTCTGTTCACAAATCTGCTCTCTATGTCTGTGTCTATTTGCTGCTCTGCAAATAGATTCGTCAGCACCATCTTTCTAGATTCCATATAGATGCATTAATAGATGATATTTGTTGAAGAAAAACAAGTCTTAACACGGTGACTGATTAGTAAGAAAGTGCCTGGTATGGTATGGCAGACTTTGTTCAGACAAAAGACCCTTGAAAGCAAACTCTTAGTTAAGTGGTATGCAGGTCTGGGTGGAGAGGAGAATGACCAATGTGAATAAGGAGCCAGGGCTTTCTAGAAAGGAATAAACCAATTACCCAACTCTTGTTTTCCAAGATGTAAACCCGGGTGGGCCACAGGGTACCTAATACTCAGGCTGATGACTGAGAATGGATGAGGGTTAGAAGGAAATGGTTTTAACACAGCCCGGTCCAGTTGTTGTGCTTTGGAGAGTTGTGTGACCCAACCTGGGCTCTAATGTGACCTGAGCAGGTCATGGCAGAAAAGCAGTGTCCCTGAAACCTGGGACTCTGCATGCCCTTCTTCACCAGTGATGCCATGTGGGTGCAAGCGGCAGTGGCAGTGGCACTGGGATATTGATCAGATGGGATTGAGAGGCTTCAGGGCTTCCAAGCAACTGTGAGGGGGTTGGGAAGGTAAAACCTCAAGAGGAAGATAGCAGACTTAATGATAATAAAGTGGCAGGGTAGGTGAAAAACAAAGGCAATGTTGTCATGTGTATTCCTCAAGCTGATAGAGCAGGTCAAACCAGTAACAGTGAAAAAGGGACTGGGGATATTTCTATTGCTGCCTAAGTTTTAGTTCCACTCTATGAGATCAGTCCTGAGTGTTCATTGGAAGGACTGATGTTGAAGCTGAAACTCCAATACTTTGGCCACCTGATGCGAAGAGCTGACTCATTTGAAAAGACCCTGATGCTGGGAAAGATTGAGGGCAGGAGGAGAAGGGAACGACAGAAGATGAGATGGTTAGATGGCATCACCAATTCAATGGACATGAGTTTGAGTAAAATCTGGGAGTTGGTGATGGAAAGGGAGGCCTGGTGTGCCTCAGTCCATGGGGTCGCAAAGAGTTGGACACGACTGAGCGACTGAACTGAACTTAATAGAACACTCAGATAAAACAAGGTCAGGTGGGCCAACACTGGATTTAATAGCTAGAAATCTTGACCTCTCATGTCTTGAGGAACATTCCAGGGCTCCCTATATAGGCAGACCACCATGGAGCTGGCCCCTCAGAACCACCAGCTCCATACAAAGACAAGATAAGGCAAGGCATGAAAACACAGTGAGTGAAAAATTTATATTTTTTTTCATTTTTTTTAATATTCACTGCCTCTACTTCCACACTGCCCTTCCCACCCCCAGCACACATTGCACAACAGAAGGACAGGAGTCTGGACAGCCTGAGAAAAGCTGCATGTGAAGGGCCCCCTTCCAAGCTGTCATTCCACTCCACTTCAGCTGGCCCACAACATCTGTCTTTTCTCACACCTAACTCTCTCAGTGAAACAGGATGAGCCCCTGAGCCAATATTCCAATGTCATAGAACTCATTCTTCTATAGCTGGGGATGAAGAAATTAAAAATCCTCTCTCTGAACTGTGTCTGCTAATGAGGATATACAGACCGATCCTTCCAAACTCTTGCCTAAGGCCACTGTTCTCTGCTTTTTTCTTCCTTCTATGCCAATTATGTTACTTCTAATCTGTGTAATCACAGGAAGCTATCTGCCCTTTCTGTTCCTCTGTTTTCTTGTTTTCAAAGTGGGAATGAAAATAATCTACCTACGGGGTGACGGTCACTGAGGGTTCCCCACCCACAAGCTCTCAGACCTCACCCCTGTGATGTCCAGTTATGTACTTTCTACCTGCCTGAAGGCTGTCTCCATTGGCCTAGCCTACCTGAGCTCACAATATGCCAGAAATACTAGAGAGCTTATGTCCCCCAGGGAGCAGCCCTCAACCAATGACAAATGGAAGCTGGTGTGTAAATACATCCTGGACTCAGATGAGGCAGGTGTTCTGTATGCCCATGACAGATTTCATCCCTGAGGTGAGTTCCACACTGGTTCCCAGCTGCCCACAGTGGTAACCTGCTGGGTATCAGCCCCGCCATTGACTGCCTTCCCTTCTGTCTCACTTCCACCCCACCCCCACCCCCCACCCCCGCCCAGTGCTTCCTGGGGTCACCCCCAGATGACCGTCTTGCACAGGCATTTTTGACTAGGGAAACCGCTCTGACACAGTGGAACTAAACATGTGTGGTCTCCTTCCACAGCACCTCAACACTGCTCTGGACCCACTTTTCCCTCATCAGTTTACTCTTCAGTTCTTCTAATTCCTCCATGTCCCTCCAGTTTGAACTTACCTCTCATCTCCCCAAACAACTGTCTTAACCAGCCCATCCCTCACATTTGAAGGGCCCAAGAGCCCCTTTTGTACAAAGGAAGACTTCTGCCCTGTCCTGCCCCACCGCCTGTCTTCTTCTCATCCACAGGCAAATCCACAGTGTGAACAGCCTCATGCACTGGATGTTGACTGTAGAAGGTGGGCTAGCTCAGACTATAGACCATGCCCATGCTCTGTCTACTCCCCCTGCAAGCTGCTGCCCTTTGCCACCCCTCAGGTCAGTGTGAGGTCTGCTCTCAGGGGAAGGCCCACACAGACCCTGGATTCTGGGGTCCCCAGCATGTTCTAGAAGGGGAAGCATGGCTCTTGGTGGGCACATTCCCTTGTCCCATGGAGAGGTGTGCCTGGAGTGCAGCTAGAGCCGGTTCCTTTGATTTATGGGGTCTAAGGGCGGAACTGGGCTTCCCAGGTGGCGCTAGTGGTAAAGAACCTGCCTGCCAGTGCAGGAGATGTAAGAGACGTGGGTTCGATCTCTGGGTTGGGAAGATCCCCTGAAGGAGGAAATGGAACCCCTCACCAGTATTCTTGCCTGGGAAATCCCATGGACATAGGAGCCTGGCGGGGTATGGCCCATAGGGCCGCAGAGTCAGACACGACTGAAGTGGCTGAGCATGCATACACAGGGTGGTACTAGGGTCTAAGAATGGACTTGCCCTCCAAGTCTCTCCTGCGATTCAGCACCTTCCTGTCTCTGTGCGCGTCCTCCCCTCCTCCCCTCCTGTGCAAAGGAGGACATGTTTTCCTATCAGAGGCCAGTATCTCCTCCTGGGCTCCCTATTTAGAACTTAGGATCAAGGAACAGTTGGAAGGAAATGAAGAGAGCCCTGGCAGTGGGCAGAGGAATGTTCAGGTTTCAGGTTCTGGTCCCACCATCCACTGAGCAAGCCTTTGTTTCCTCACTTGCAAAATGGTGGTGACAGGGCTTGTCCATCTTCCGTAGCTGGCACAAGATTTCAGTGAGATTATTCAGTGAAAAATGTTCACTCAACTGACTGGCAATTTACAAAGAGTAAGGAGATGGTATTTCCTCTAGTTGCACTCCTGATTTTATACAGTTTATAGAGGAAGGCAGTGCCTGGAGCTTGGGAAAACAGCTTCTCTAGGCCTTAGCTAATGTCTTTGGACAGCCAGATAATTTGTTTTCCTCTCACCACTGGACAGCTGCACGAGGCTTTTATTTTTCTTTTTTATTCATGTTATTCATGGGAGGCTGAGATTCTTAAGTAAAGTATAAAAGAACAAAATTCCATTATCTAGAAAAGATTTTAGGAAATTCTCTGGCAGTCCAGTGGTTAGGACTCGGCATTCTTACTGCTGGGCCCCTGGGCTGGATCCCTAGTTGGGGAAGTAAGATCCCACAAGCTTCTTTTTGCAGCCAGAAAAAAATTTAATTAATTAATTTAAAGGCAGGCAGACAGAAAGAAAGAAACAGATTTTCCTCTACTCCTTTAGCAAAGTGGACTCTGGATGGTAGATCAAACTCAACCACAGAGTCAAGGCAAAAACGGTTCTTTTTATCTTTTAAAAACCTCTATATCAAATATAGCCTATTAACAGTCCCTAACAGCAGAAAGATATAGAAAAGACCCAAGGTCAAAGATAAATACTAAATGAGATTCAAATAACATGGTTCCTGTGGCCCTCCATCTAAGAGTGGTTTTCATAGCTTTTTAAAGAGTCATAAGAAGAGAAAAAGAAAAGAAGATATGCAATAGAGACTATAAATGGTTCTCAAAACCTAAAATATGTACCGTCTGGCTCTTTACGGAGGAAGTTGGCTAACTTCTACTCAAAATAATTGAAGGGCTCACTGATTACCTTCACCTTTCATTTGACATTCCCTCAGGGGATCACCTCCTGTCACCCTTAACAGCCAAGGCAGAGGGTGCGTACAATTCTGTCTACCAGAGTCCATCCATTGGGGGATGGTTTGTCAAGGCTGACAGGGGTCTCTGGAACTTAGCATGAGGTCTGGAGTAATTTTGGTGGGGGGAGGAGTCAGAGGGATCGTGGCATACTTCTAGACTTAAGAGACGTAGCACAGCACAGATCAAGGAGACTTTCCAGGTCCTTGATTTTGTTTACCCAGGCTAGGCCAGAAGAAGAGCCTGGGTCTCCTGGTCTCTGCTCATGAGCAAGGTTGGGGCATCTGGGGAGACTGACAGCTGGTAAATCTTTGGTGAAAGTGAAGGTGAAGTCGCTCAGTCGTGCCCAACTCTTTGCGACCCCAGGGACACCATGCTCCTCCATCCATGGGATTTTCTAGGCAAGAGTACTGGAGTGGGTTGCCATTTCCTTCTCCAGGAGATCTTCCTGACCCAGGGATCAAACCCAGGTCTCCTGCATTGCAGGCAGATGCTTTACCGTCTGAGCCACCAGGGAAGTTGGCAACAAAGTCTGCTTTGGTTCCAGCAGTCACGAGTCAAAGCAAGACCACATCATCCCAGGAGAAGGTGTCACCACTACCAGTCTGTCACCTCAAACACCACAAACCTAGCATGTCCAGTCTTTCTCCTTGGGTCTTACCCACCTTTCCCTGGCTCCAGCTGGAGGTGAGGAAGGGCAAGAATTTTCTTCTCTTCTAACTCATAGCTTGAGAGTCATTGATACCAGAGCCCATTTCTTCCCTTCAGTGCCAACCCCTTCACACCTACCTTTGGTCCTGGAAAGAGGACCTCTTTCTGGTGTGTCTGGATGAGTGTGATAGCCATAAACACCACAATGCTCAAAAACAAGACCACCAAGGCGATGATGGCTGGAGTTCGGGAGAGGACCTTGAGGCCTAAAATGAGGAAGCCCAGAAGACACATGAGGGGGAATCAGGAACAGGGCTCTGCCCTTCTTCGTAGAATCTGTGAATCTGGTGCTTAACTGGGTACTTAGCTGCATGCATAAGTCACTTCCTCTGGCTTTTTTGAGACCCAAACATTTAGAACTACAACTGGGCTCAGATACCCATTTGAGTATCTTTCCTCCAAACAGTGGACTAAAACAGCGTTTGCAAGGAGGGTGTGCATAGTCTAGCTCTCTGGTATTTCCCAAAGTGTGTTATGCATATTACTGGTTGAGATGATTTCCAATAACATTTATTTCAATGTATATTTGAAAATTATGAGTTTTCTATTAAAGCAGGTGATATAATATTTCATTAAAAAAATAATCTCGGATAAATAAGAAGAAATTCCTATTGTATTTCAGATACAATCAATGATTATAAAGTTTAGTACATGGTGACATTGTCAAACAAATGGTAATGTCTGAATTCCTAAGATGTGTGGGTGTCCAGTAAGAATTCAGCCTCAGTCATTTTCCCTGTGTCCATAGTAAAGACATAGACATCTTTACAAATGAAGAGTAACTAGACCCCAGTCCACATGTTCCCGCCCAAAGGGGTCATGTAATCTCTGGTATTTATATTTTATATTTTAATCATAACATGTAAATGCAAAACAAAAAAAAATGTAGCATATGAGTTGTCTTCAACTAAATATAGCCTCTAAGTAAAGATAATTATATAATTATATGCATTGTATGATAATATACAATGTATCATAATGGACTATTTTTACTTACTAAATTTAAGCTAATATTTCCTAAGTAGATGATTGTGAGTAAATATTTACTTGGGTCTTAACGTACCAGTGTGGGCTAATGAAAATTTAATAAATAAAGTAGCAAATATATTTATTTTAAAAAAAGAAAAGAAGGAAAGAAGCTTTTTGAAATGACCCCATTTATGTTACACTCTAAAACAGGTGGGTGATAGAAATCAGAACAGTGATGGCACAGGGGTTTGGGGCAGGCACTTTCTAGAGAAATGAAAATGCTCTTATATCTATATAGGATTGTGGGGTATATGAGTTTGTACATTTTTCAAAATTTATCAAATTTTCCAAAATCCTTTGGAAAAAAACTAAAAATCACAGCAAACCAGCTCCTTTAGATACAATTTCCCTTAAAAAAATATTCTTATAAATTGTCCATTTTCTAAAAACATAATCCTTCCAGAAGGCAAGAATACCAGATTTAGGGACACAACTTAAGAACTCTCCATTTCACTATATATTAAAGCAGTGAAAGTCGCTCAGTCGTGTCAGACCCAGGTCTCCCACGTTGCAGGCAGCTTCCTTACCGTCTGAGCCAGGGAAGCCCAAGAATACTGGAGTGGGTAGCCTACCCCTTCTCCAGGGGGTCTTCCTGACCCAGGAATTGAACCGGGGTCTCCTGCATTTACCAGCATAAAGAATCCACCTGCAGTGTAGGAGACCCGAGTTCGATCCCTGGGTCACAAGATCACTTGGAGAAGGAAATGACAACCCACTCCAGTATTCTTGCCTGGGAAATCCCTTGGACAGAGGAGCTTGGTGGACTACAGTCCATGTGGTCGCAAAGAGTAGGACACAACTGAGCGACTACACCACCACCACCACCACTACCTATCACTATATATAACTTATACCTAATTTTTTTAAAGATAAAAAGACATTAGAGTAAGATATTGACTAAATAATAGTCTTGTTAGAACTATTACAGCATAAACATAAGTGGTGACACTCAAATGGCTGAACTATGATAAACACTAGCATAATAAGAAGATCACTGAATTCAGAGAATCCAAATATGTCTCACCAATTGAATATTTAAATTAATTAAAAGTAAATAAAATTTAAAAGTACAGTTTCTCAGTTGCACTAGCCACTTTCTAAGTGTTAAATAATCAAAAGTGGCTACCATATTGGACAGTGTAATTACAGAACATCTCTACCATCACAGAAAGTTCTATTGAACAGCAATGGGGTAGAACCTGCCCTATTCTGGAACATCTACTTTTAGATCATCATAAGCTATTCTTTACTACTCCATTATTTCTAGGAGATATTTTCTTGGAAGAAAAAAAAGAGCACGTATTTAATACCATATAGAGTCAGATTCAACCTCAATATCCAGTCACATCACAGTGCTCATTACTTGGGGAGGTCAGTCATGCAGTGGATCTCAATATCTCAGAAGAGCCAACTCTTAACTTACCTCACCTGATTTCCCTGCAGTATAAATACTGCCACAGACACATCCTGATGTCCAAGGTGCCTTAATTCTCCTACCTTGTCACTGGGAGTGAACTGGAGGGGAATTTGTCAAAATGTATCAAAATTGCAAATGTGTATACTATCTGCCTCAGAATCCCACTTCTGGGAATCTGTTCCACAGAACTGGTCCCAAGTGTGTTAAACGACTTGTACACCAGGTTACTCACTGCGGAATCGTTTGTCATAGCAGCTGGAGGGAGGCCAGCCACTGTGGCGTTAGCCTTCAGAGCCTCTGGAGGGGTCTTGCCTCACTTTTCTGTGATTCCAGATCAAAGGGTATGGCCCAGACAGAAACCGGTTTATCCACAGAGGCAAACTTTTGCATCAACTGTTAAACAGTGCACACGCCAGGTCAGTTATATACAAGACAAGGTAGACATTTAATCTGCCAAGTTAAACTTGTCCTTTGGAAGGAATGTAACAAGTTAGTCTGCATGTGTGATGTTACAGTATATGTGTTAAACTATCAAAGTGTTTTGAATACCAGTTTAGGAGTACCACTAAAGAACATCTGTCCATGGGGCGGAACTGGGGGTGATACGTAAGCAGTCTCCTGACCACAGCCACGAGCCTAGCCTCCTAAGTCCTCTGTGCTTCAGCAGTTTTCAGGTAAAAAGCTGTGATTACTTTAACCAAAGCCTTGCTCTAGCAGAAAAGCCTGTCGTAGACCAAAATGGACTAGACCAGGTCTCATTCATTTAGAGAACTGCAGCCTAGAGCTGTGCTGTCATTAGGGCTGGACGAACACTGTAATTACCAGGTGCCTCCCAGCAGTGGAGAGGCCAGACCCTTCTAGGCTTCCACACAGAGCAACTGCAAAATGTGCTCCAGAGGCAGGCAGGCAGGCAGGCAGGACAAGCTCAGAAGTGTGTGTGTGTGTGTGTGTGTGCAAATTCTACGCATGTGCCTGCAGTAAAAGGTGGTAACAACACTGACCATGGGGGTGGGGTGGGGCGGAGGGAGGGGAGGGAAGAGGGGAGGGAAGAGGGGAGGGGGAAGGGATGCTGTAGGCACCAGGCCAGCAGCAACTTGGATGGAAAGAGAGACAAGCTCCAAGTACTTTACAGTTCATCACAAAATCAACAATATTCTAAAGCAGACCTTACACACAGCTGGGTAAGGGAAACCACAAGGGCCAAATTAATGGATTATGCAAACCGGAAAAACCATTTAAGCGAAACAAGCATGCTAGTCCTTGTTTTGTGTGGCTTTGAGGAAAAGAATTACTTTATGCGGGTGGCGAAAGCCCGGTGACGACTAAAAGAGGTTAAACCGTCATTTGCTGGGGACGTGGATGAAAGAGACTGCGGGCTGAAGCTGGGTCCTTGGGTGATGTGACAGAATCATACTCGCTGCCTGCTGAGTGATACCGACCTGCTTGCTCACAAGGTTGGCGGGTCAGCACCGTGAACATCTCTCCTTCCAGCTGCAGGTGAGAGAACACAGAATGACGGCGCGAACTTGGTCCCTGACTTAAGAAGTTCCGAAAACTTGCACCGCGTTAAAGCACAAACCCACTTCACTTCTTCCAAAGGAAAGCCTGCTGGGGGCCAGATGAACCTAGAACTTCCCAGGCAGACCCAAAGCTGGGCTTATATTCTAGAGTCATCTCTCGCCAACCCCCACCTCCTCCCATGCAAAAAGGAAGAACAGACTTGCTGAAATTTTAAATTCAAAAAATTTTCTAAGAAGTCAAGCTTCTCCTGCAGATTTTCCCACCTGTACACACCTCCTGGGGCAGAACAAATCTTCAACCTATTATCAACATTCACAGTCTGAGGCAGGGCTTTTTTCTCAAAGCACGCCAGCAAGGGAGGTTTCTTTGTGTGTTCGCGGCTCGCGAGCCCGAGGTCGCTCTTTCAAGATCCAGGACGAGTATCTGTCGCTGCTGACTGGCGACCATTGCAAGAGGATGTCGGGCCCCCAGCATCCAGCGCCCCAGGATCTAGGAGGCCCCACTCTGGACTGAATCCCCACAGAGTCAAGGCATCCAAGCTCCCGGCGCTCCTTTGGACCCGAAGAAGCGCTCGGTTAAAGACACGTCCACCTCTCCGGGGGCCGCATGGATCACCTCCCCACGGCCCGAGGACGTGGGGCCCGCGTACTAATGTCCCTCCCTCCGGCCCCCTGAGGAATTCGATTCCGTTTCCTTCCCTCCCAGATTTTCAGCCCCACGAAGCTTCCCACTCCTTCTGCAGCGGCTCAGACGCGGGGTCCAGTCCTCACCTGTGCGCAGACGACCGGAGGAAGGCGACTGGCGCTGCCGCAGTGCCCGCCGGCAGCCAGAGCTCCAGGGGCTCCTGCGGGGGCGGGGCGGAGGCGGGGGCAGGGCGGGGCTTCCGTGTCCTGGGCCCGCCCCCTGGTCCTGGCCAAGCACCTCTTCACCTTCCCTCTTCTAGTTCGCCGTCATGCGGAGTGGGGGCGGGGAGGTTTGGGAACCGCAGCGGGGCCTTGGCTCTTCAGTAGCGATCCCGACCGGGCCTACCTGGGAAAAGTGGGGCTGGGGTGATGTCTTCTAACTGCTGCCCTCTTTGATATCAAGGCCAAGAGCCTTTTGACTTAACTGTTGCTTTCCTCCACTGTTACCCCAAGCCTTAGTGGAGGGGAAGTGGGGTCAGGGCAGGGCAGAGACTAGGCACTCTGTGGGTGTGTACTGGTGCTCCATCTTTCCGTGACGTCGAGGACACCTGTAAACACCTGTAATGGTGGGGGTGAGACAAGTAAGCAGACTGGTCCCTGGGTCACTTGGAGCAGGAGGGCAAAGTAATACAGAGTCTTTCCCTCTCAGATAGTTTAGCAGAACTGCCTTCACTATGCCCAGGGACATTCTTACTAGTTACTGAGCAATGCTGTCCCTCACTGCATTTTATAGGCCAAAATTCAGTCCAAGCATTTCTTGGAAGAGGCCAAATAGGAAAAGTGACCAAAATGCAGCCATTCACATGCTCCAGGAGTCTGTTTTTAATGCACCAGTAGGTAGCCTTGTGGCCCCTCTGAGTGACCCCGCGGGACTCTTGGAATGATCCCAGCAAGATACATAAGCAGGTTTCTGTTGAGTCATCCCTCTTTGTGGCTCCTGAATTTTTGAAAGGAATTGCTGAGACCTCGACTATGTCCTTGGGAGCTAGGTCCTGTGCACCACTAGTGTTCTGTCCTGTGCAGGTAGGGCCAAACCCTTCATGAGACGAAAGGGCCTTCAGAGAACAGTACCCCTGCTTTTTGAGACCTTTGAGCCCAAAGAGGAGGGTCCCAAGCTGGGTGTGTGTATGTGGGTGCACACACACACACAAGCATGCAAGGGCACCAGTCATTTGCCCTAAGTCTGATGGACATGGACTGTTGAACAGGATTTGTACAGAGTCTAGAGTGGGGCATTCAGTAAATACTTGCTGATTTGCAAGGCTTCTTTTCATTGAACGCTGTGTGTCAAAGAAACACAAGGCTTAGGACTGAAAGATGAAGGACTCTGCACCTAGGGGGTCATAAATCCACAAGCAGCTGCTGATGCTGCACCTAGACCTGGGGTCAACACTGGCTCGAAGGGATGAATAGCTGACCTTAACATCCCCTAGGGTTTCCCAGCAGCTGAGAAGAGTGTCCTGGGCCTAAAACTTTGATATCTTTAAATTAGACTTTTTAAACTGAGCAGTAGCAAAGCTATAACTATCTGTGAATGACTATTGTCAAAAAGAACACAAGAACAAATGTTGGTGAGGATGTGGCTAAAGGGGAACCCTCATACATTGTTGATAGGAATGTAAACTGGTGCAGCTACTGTGGAAAACAGTATGGAGGTTCTTCAAAAAAACTAAAAATAAAGCTACCATAAGATCCAGCAGTTCCCCTAAGTTGGAAAAGATACATGCACCCCAATGTTCACAGCAGCACTATTAATAATAACCAAGATATGGAAGCTACCTCAGTGTCCATCAGCACGTGAATGGTTAAGGAAACTGTCTGTGATGTGTATGTGTGTGTGTGTATGATATTACCCATAAAAAGAACAAAATTTTGCCATTTGCAACAACATGGATGCACTTGGAGGGCAATGTGGTTAGTGAAATAAGACAGAGAGAAACAAAGTACTGTTTGATATCACTTGTATATGAAATCTAAAAATACAACAAACAAATGAATATAACAACAGCACCAAAAAAGATCTATGATACTCCATGTTGGAGAAGCTGTGGGGGAAACAGGCCTTTTTGAAGCTTCTGGGATGTGACATGCCCTGGTTTTCTTTCCACCTCCTAGAAGCTTTTTGCTAGTTTGTGCTCTTCTCCCAGGAGTTTCTCAACAAGTAGTCCTGGGCCCTCTTTTTTCCTCACTCTGTACTCTCTTCCTAGGTAATCTCATCCATGCCCACAACTTCTCTTCTATTCACAAAAGCCCCTCCAATACATGTCTCCTGCTCAGGATTCCCCCCTTGAGCTGTAGACTTAGAGAACTGGCTTTTGACTTCTTTGAATGTCTTAAAAGGCATCTCAGTTTATGAGGCTTCAAGCTGAATTCCTTATCTTCTCCCACCAGATCATCACCTCCCCAAAATTTTCTCATTTCAGTGGAAGCCACTCCCACTCATCCACTTGGGCAAGCCAGCAACCTGAAGGTTATCTTAGATGATCTTTCCCTCATTCCTCATAATCAGCCACTAATTACTGTGGATATTAACCTCTTAATTATCTCTGCAATATGTACTCTTATCTTCACCACCACCACAGTCTGAGCAAGGGTTTCCCGGTCTTTGGCTCTATTTGTATTTCAGGCCAAATAATCCTTTGTTGTGGGGGCAGCTCTCTGTATCATGATTTAGTAACATCCCTGATCTTTACCTGCTAAATGCCAGTGACATCCCTCCACACATTAGTGGAACAACCAAAAATGTCTTCAGACATTGCCAAGTGTTTTCTGAGGGGTAAAATTTCTCAATTTGAGAACCACTGGTCTAAGCTACCATTGTCTCTCTCCTGGACATGAGCAGTGGTCTCACTTTCTTCCTTTCTGATCCATTTTCCCATTGCTACCACCCTCCTCTTTCCAAAAGACAAATCTCACTGTGTCAGCCCTGACCTTAACAGACAATTCTGTGCTATCCATTTCTCAACCAATACAGACTCAAATCCTCAATATAACCTGTCTGGTCCCAACCTTCCTTTCTCTGCCTCTTTTAGTCTCATTCTTCTTCTTACTTTATGCCCTGAGGGCACGCCAGCTTTCTTTCAGTTTTTTAAATTTGTTAATTTGGCTGTACCAGGTCTTAGTTTTGGCATACGGGATCTTTAGTTGCAGTGTACAAACGTTTAGTTGTGGCATGTGGGATCTAGTTCCCTGCCCAGGGATTGAACCTGGGCCCCCTGCATTGGGAATATAGAATGTCTTAGCCATTGGCCCACCAGGAAAGTCTCCAGTTTTTCAAATATATTTCCTCCTGCCATAGGCCAGTTGCACATCATTTCCTTTGCCTTTGCCTAAGGGACAGGGTGGTGTCTGCCTCTTCTTTGACTTTTCCCTAACTGACTCTGGTTTATACTTTCATTCTCAGCTCAGTCACAGCCACCCTTGAGTTACATGCTCCCTCAGTGGGCTTTTCTTCCTTTCAGCTATGGTTTCATTACGGCAGTTGTGGAGCAAGTGATACCTGTTGCCTCCCACCAGGAGCAGCAGTACCAGGGTGTCAACCCACTGTATGGTTTGCAGGTGTCAGGGTTGCCAAGAAAGAACTTACACAGGCTCTGGATGGAACAACACTTCCCCCCGTAAAGAGACAGAGCAAGAGCAGCTTCAGCAGCCAGCATCCATCCCCTGTGGTCAGCGGGTCTCACCCCACAGCCCAGAGTAAGACAGGGAGATGGTGCGTGAACCCCTTTTCTGCTGCAGGTGAAGCACACCCACCCAAACCTTCAAAAAGTTGGGGACATGCCTAAGGGCCGATGAGCCACATGCTCAAGCGGAACAAAAAAGCACACATCAAACCTGGAGCGGGGAAAGATGTTCCAAAGCAAAGAAATATGGCTGGTACAGGCTGTAGGGCTTTTTCTCTCCTTGTAAGGAAGTGTTCCAGGCCCAGGGCAACCCTTCCAGGCAGGAGGCAGGAAGCTGCATTGTGACTGCCTTCCCCAACAATGATTTCTGATGAGTCTGTCCCTGCCTACTAGGTGGTAAATCCCATGCAAGTAAAAACCATGCTGTTTTTACTTACCATGGTATTCTTAGTATCTACCACAGTCAAGCAGCTAGTAAGTTCTCAATAAATATAAGTCAAATGGACACGATGCTGTTTTACAAATGGAGGATATTAACCCTTTGACTATCTTCTATGACACATACTTTCCCCCAGTTTTCCATTTAAGACTCAGCATTTTTACAAGCTACTGCTGTCTTTCTGACTGCATGTTGCAGCTTGAAGTCTTTGAG